TGACGTTGATATTTGGTTGATTTTAGGTTGTGTTGGAAAGTGACCAAAATCCACATCTTAAACCAACGTCACATTGACATCAAATACTGACATTTAATTGTCTGGTATAGCAACCAATATCTGATAGATGTCATATTGGTAACATCCTCACAACGTCAAGCTTTAACATCATTAGACGCTGATTTTTAGGTTGGATGGACATTGGTTCTGACGTCAACCTGATTTTTATTTCCAAACAAAATGCAACATCCCCATGTCGTTGGAGTACAATGTCAATCTGACGTCATGTTGTGTTTGCTTGAGTCCCTCATGCTGGCAAACACATCTATGAAATGTTGTTTTCGTTCATTCATTTTCTTGTCGGCTTAGTCCCTTTATTAATCCGCGGTCGCCACAGCGGAATGAACCGCCACAACCCATCTCTGGGAAACATCCACATACACATTCACACACACACTCATACACTACGGACAATTTAGCCTACCCAATTCACCTGTACTGCCTGTCTTTGGACTGTGGGGGAAACCGGAGCACCCGGAGGAAACCCACGCGAACGCAGGAAGAACATGCAAACTCCACACAGAAACACCAACTAAGCCGAGGCTCGAAACAGCGACCCAGCGACCTTCTTGCTGTGAGGCGACAGCACTACCTACTGCGCCACTGCTTCGCCCGAAATGTTGTTTTTAATTTAAAAGAAAATTTTTTTAGGGTTCATCTTAGGTCAGACATTAAAATATACATAATATTGATGCATATATACGCATTGATACAATTCACTAAACAAGAAATTATCCGGAAAACATAATTATACACTAAATAAGTATATGAATAAAGATAAACTACCACATTTAAACACAAAGATATACAAACATAAGATAACAAAAATAAAATAATAACCAAATATCACATAATAAATAATACAAAGAAAAGAAAGGTAAAAAGGCAATTAAGATATAGGTGTCTCCTTAAATTTTTTTATAAAAGGGCTCCAGACTTTCTGGAACCGTTCTGGCTTTTGTTTTATTGCAAACCGAATCTTTTCCATCTGAAAACCCATTGTCGATAAGAAGGTGGAGCTGCTGACTTCCAATTCGTAAAAGTAAGTCGTCTAGTCAGTACGGTTGCAAAGGCTACACTATCGGCCTGTAGTGAATTGAATTCAGCATATGTTGTCTTGAATTTTGTTGGAACAAAACACTTATTGTAGAATGACTCACGCTTTCACCAAAAAAAAAACTCCCATTATAATAACTGAAGCTGTAAAATGAAGCCCTAGTCATGGTTTTGAGAATTTGTTGTTTAGTTCAATCACTGAGCCATTTGCCATTGTCTAGTGCAGTATTTTATTCAAAGTCAAACTACTTTTTTCCCAGCATTCTTCAGATTATCTTCTTTTGTGTTAAGCAAGAAAAAGGTATTCGTATAGGAAAGTACTTTTCATTTTTAGGTGAACAACTCTTAAACTGTTAAAGTTCTTAAATGATACTGTTTATTCCTCCACCGCTCTTATTTTTGACAGCTTTTTAATGAGACTTTTATTGTGAAACAGTGACATCTGGTGGCTTTCAAAATAGCAGGCTTTCCTCGGTTCTATAGCCTGGAATATCATCTGTAATGTGTGAATTGGGACCTCTGATATTACCAAACGTTAACCTCTTCCCTTAAAACCCTTGTTTTTTGGCATTGTTTATCAAGCTACTTTTGTTGTCAGGGTTATTTGTGTGCAGCTCATCCATCAACACTGGTGTCACAGATCTGATGAGATTTAGATCTGAAATAAACAATAGCCGCTGATGACTAACAGACAGATGGAAAGAGGCTGAAGAGACCAAGAGTGTGTGTCTGATCCTGTAAGAGAACAAGTGAGAGCAGAAGAAAACGTGCAAAATTCTCTAATCTTTATATAATCTGGGTAAAAAAAGTAATAGCAAAAGCCAAAAATTAAAATGTACTCACCAGGGATCTGATTTAAAAAATTTGCATAGAAAATAAAAGGGAATGTGAGTGCACACACACACACACACACATACACATATACATACACTCACTGGCCACTTTATTAGGTGCAATAACTTCTCGTTAATGGAAATTTCTAATCAGTCGTAAGGGGTGGTCAAGACGATCTGCTGCAGTTCAAACCGAGCATCAGAATGGGAAATAAAGGTGATTTAAGTGACTTTGAATGTGGCATGATTGTTGGTGCCAGACGGGCTGGTCTGAGTATTTCAGAAACTGCTGATCTACTAGGATTTTCACGCACAACCATCGCTAGGGTTTACATGAATGGTCAGAAAAAGAGAAAATATCCAGTGACCGGCAATTCTGAGGGCGTAAATGCCTTGTTGATGTCAGAGGAGAATGGCCAGACTGGTTCCAACTGATAGAAAGGCAACACTAATTCAAATACCCACTCGTTACAACTGAGGTCTGCAGAAGAACATCTCCGAATGTACAACAGCAGAAGTCCACCCCGTACATATACACTTATGATATATATAAAAAGTTACCTCGAACTTTTGATATCCGCAGACAGAAAAACTAATACTATGTAAGTCAATGGTTACAGGTTTCCAGCTTTCTTCAAAATATCTTCTTTTGTTTTCTACAACAAAAAAGACAAAGCGGTTTGGAACAAGTAAAGGTTGAGTAAATGACAGTTTTATGACAACTATCCATTTGAAAAAGGAAAACTATTTCAACAAATGTGTTCAATTTACAGCAAGATGCTAATAGTCTAATCCTTTTCAATGATTTATGCTTAGCTAATAGTGCCCCAGCAGACCCAGAGATTGGCTGAGTATATTAAGCTGTGGTAAAACCCAACTGTTTAACTCTACAGGGACTTGTAAAACAACCCTATTTAAAAATATATTTATTTATTTTAATATTGTACAAAAAAATCACATTTCTAGACAGCCGTTTCAAGTATTGTATGTTGTTAACAAACAGTATATTTAAAATGAGGAAAACAAAAGCTAAGCACACTTTAATTAGCGTAGCTTCTGTTCACAGTCTAAATAAACATGATGCAGAAACCTGTGTGGAAATCCGCTAAGTGATGCACTGAGTGTATGCTTTACTAAACAGATAGGTCTTTAATCTAGTTTTGAATTGGGAGAGTGTGTCTGAGCCTCGGACATTATCAGGAAGGCTATTCCAAAGTTTAGGAGCCATAAATGAGAAGGCTCGACCTCCTTTACTCGACTTTGCTATTCTAGGTATACCAGAAGCCCTGAGTTTAGAGATCTTAAAGAGCGAGTTGGTTTGTAGCGAGACAGAAGGTTGGTTAGATAAACAGGAGCTAGATTATTTGAAGCTTTATAGGTAAGAAGCAATATTTTAAATTCAATACCAAACTTAACAGGCAGCCAGTGTAAGGAGGATAAAATTGGGGTGATATGATCATATTTTAAGGGGGTTGAATAGAAAAATAGGAGGGCTAAAGCGACGCCCGTGTTGTTTAATCATTTTATCTGAACATTTCATTGAGACATCATTCAGTTGACTTGTCGTCTTTGAAAAACTCTCACAAAATTGTCTCACAGTTGCTGCTGTGTGTGTGTGTGTGTGTGTGTGTGTGTGTGTGTGAATGAATGTGTGAACTTTCTGTAACAAGCGCATGCGCACAGGATTTTTTTTTTCTTTTTCTCTGATGCTTGGATTAAGTTATTTTCTGTAATATATCGTGACAGAAGAATAAAGCACAAGATGTGGGATGCGACCTGTGTGAGCCTTGATTTATTATTCTGCTGCCACACTAGTCAGGTAAGCTAACCTGTATTTTTTTTTAACTCTGTGCGTTACACGACGGCTTTCATATGTATCCGGAATATGCAATATGAATCATCCACATATCTTTTGCGTGTTCATTATCTGAGACGTGAAACGCATGGAAAAGCTGCCTGAAGACAATCAATGCAGTCCTGTGCGCACACACATAAAATACACGAACGTGCTGGTGTATTGTGTGTTTACAGCAGTTTGACTGATTAATATGAAATTGTAGCTAAATCGTTTACCCACAAAGTAGCATTTCACATTGTTTACATCGTTGCTACAGCATATCGTTAACGCTAGACACTGTATATGTTATGATAATTTTTTTTTGGTCTTTTTGCCTTTATTAGATAGGACAGTATTTAGACAGGAAGCGAAGTTGGAGAGAGAGAGAGAAGGGGGTAGGGTAGGGAAATGTCCTCATGCCGGGATTCGAATTTGATGTGCTATTGCACCATATGTCGACGCACTAACCACTAGGCTATTGCGCCGACATGTCATGATCAATTTTAAAAAATAAAAACACTTACAGGTTGTAGCTTACAGCTTCTGCTTTGAGGAGATTTTAGCCGAATCCAGCACTGAACTGGGAGAGATTCTGGAAGCTGTTTTGTCAAATCATGCTTGCTATGTATTTTATAATTCTCTGGAACATAATTAATATTGAACTGTGAGCACTTCTGTCTTTGTGTCGTGTCCTTTGGAAGCCCAAATACAAAAACAGACGAAGCTCTGTGGAAACTGCAGTGTTTAGACGCATTTTTAGCTTCATCTCTACTATAACGTTACATCGCCTCTGGCCACGGCTCTTACCTGCGCAGTTTGTATGCGCAGTAAACGAACTTGTGTTCTCACAGGGGGCGGAAGTATTCTTTGTAGTCCCCAAAATCCATTCATTGTAGGCTTTGCTAAGCTAACTCTGTAAAAACCAAGGTCTCCCATTGCATTGAACTTACAACTTTTTACATTCAGAGATGCTGTTTATGTTCACACAGCTACATTACACATCAGCTAAAGTTTAAAATATGATATCATAGTGGACCACCCCTTTAAAAAACAAAAACATTTGGTTTACAGTTACATTAGGAAAGTTTGATCAGCAAAACAAGTGAGTATACCAAGCGTCTACGCAATTATCGATCCTCAGAAGTCGTAATACCCAAGTAAACTATGGCTTTTTTGTGAATGTAGATGCAAATAGACCATTTTTCCAGATTCAATTTCGTAAAATCTCATACTTTTTAATATCATATACAGAATTGACATGAACCACTAAAAATGTTAATCGTACAATCGCAGGTCTTCAGCCTGAAATAGAATAAATATAAGAACTCTTGCATTAGTAAATGCTAATACGCGTGTGTTAACTGCAACAGTGATGCGACTATCAAAGTGTATAAGAAAACTAGTCTATATTCACATCGTATTTCCATATAGTAGTCACCTCAACATCGCTAGTCATGTTAGTGCTAAACATTTTGACCACATTGTTATTCCACCCCAATACGTACACATGTAAAATACAGCATTCTAACATATTCCTCTAAGAAAAAAAAAGCAGAGAATAGTCTGTTATTGCAGAGATGTACAGTTGATCGCGTCTCCAGATTTTGGGAAATGCCCTGCCGTGGTGAATCCCGGAGAAGTGAGAGGTCATCGGTTACCACGGCAACAGTGCCTACATTCACAGTCACAATAATGCTCAGTGTTCCAAACAGAATCCCTCTGTATGATGTCATGATGATGTCATCCTGTTTAAACAGCTCCATCCTTGAATATCTGTTGTATATCCCATCTGATATTTGTAGCTTTGATCTGCTTTCACTCTGAAGAAGAAGAAGAAGAAAACTGTTGGTGTTTATTATCCAACATGAGCAATCTTGACATTTACATTTGGTTTGAGTTTCAGCAGACGGTGCTGATTGAAAGACTTGTGTAATAAAGAGTGTGCCTGTCTTCTCTGGAGAGCTTTAACTAAGTTATTAGGAAGAAGGTGACGGGTCACGCACACACACACACACACACACAACACAGACTTTTTGCGGACGGGACTCTTATCAGAAAATCTGCTCAACATGCACCTGCTGTTCACAAACACTCACAATAAAATAAGCTGACGGTCTGTTCTATGTTGTTTTATCTGAAGGTCTGCAATAAACATCTGTTGACTAGCAAGGTAAATAAGAGCATCAATCAGCAATATGGAAAAAATACACAATAAATGGAAGAGTTTTGCTGCTATATTAATTGGGGAAGTATTGAAGTCACTGAAGATGACTTTAAACATTAGCAAAATGCTAAATTGCTGACAAAATATTAAGCCAAATAGCCCTAAACTATAACTGATAAATGTGTTAGCAACATATTAAAAGTTAGCAATGTGTTATGCTAATTTGTGTTAGCATGTCATTAACATGGTAAATCACATTAACCATGCCCTAAAACATGTTAGCAGCATGCTAAATCTTCAAACACACACATGTTAGTTCATGCTAGTAATGTTAAATCTACATTGTGTACTACAAATATGGTATAGTAAGTGTTTCTTTTTCAGAAAAAGACATCGCTGCATTAATATGCAAACCACGTTTGTACACGTGTCTTTGATTTGAAATCTAGTTGCTAGATTAAATACAGGTCATGCTACAATGAAGTGTGACCATAAACATGCTAAACATTATTTATGAGACTTTAGAATACTGAATGTGACGCACTATTAGCAAAATAATAATTTGTCAACAAAATGCTAAGCAAAATAGCACAACATTAAAATGTTTAAGCAACCTAAGGTTAGCAACATGTCAGCAATGTCAATGTTAACTTGATAAAACACGTACTAAAGTACTAAAACCAAGTACTAAAACATGCTAATGAAATACTAATTAATCATAGCATCGTATTAAAAGTTAAAACATCATTAAAAACATTATAAAACATTTTAGCATAATGTTAAAACAAGATGGTCATTCGTGTTAACAATGACATAGTAAAACATGTTAGCCATGTAATAATGCGAAATGTTAATTATAGCAACATATGAAGAGCTAGCAATATATTAAAACAACATGCTCATTCATGTTAACAATAGCATAGTGTTAAAATGAACATAGTAAAGCAAGCTAAAGAAATGCTAATTAATTTTAGCAGCACATTAAAAGTTAGCAACATGTTAGAACAATATGCTCATTCGTGTTAACAATAACATTGTGTTTACATAAACCTAGTAAAACATGTTAGCCATGTGTGTTAATTCCACTGTGGCGACCCCAGATTAATAAAGGGACTAAGCCGAAAAGAAAATGAATGAATGTTAGCCATGTACTAAAACATGCTTGCAAAAATGCTAATTTATTATAGCAACGTACAAAAAGTTAGCAACAGGTTACAACATGTTAGCAAAATGTTAAAAAAACATGCTCATTCATGTACACAATAGCATAGTGCTAACATTATCATATAGTAAAACACGTGAGCCATGTGCTAAAGAAATGCTAATTAATTTTAGCAGCACATTAACAGTTGGCAACATGTCAAAACATGTTAGCAATGTGTTAACAATAGCATAGTTTTACATTAACATTGTAAAACATGTTAGCCATGTTCTAAAACATGCTAGCTTGAAACAAGTCTCCTGGCCTGGGTTCTGTAATTTCCAACACTAACAAAATGCTAATTCATTATAGCAACATACTAAAAGGTAGCAATTTGTTGAAACATCTTGACAAAATGTTAAAACAACATGTTCATTCATGTTAACAATAGCATAGTGTTAGCATTAACTTATAGTAAAACATGTGAGCAATCTACCAGAACATGCTAAAGAAATGCTAATTAATTATAGCAGCATATTAAAAGTTAGCAACATGTTAGCAATATGTTCAAACAAATGCTTATTTATGTTAACAATAACATAGTAACACATTATAGCCATGTACTTAAACGTGATAGCAAAATGCTAAATAATTATAGCTGCATATTATAAGTTCGCAACATGTTTTAACATGTTAGCAATATGCTTAATCATGTTAACAATAGCATAGTGTTAACAATAACGTATAGTAAAACATGTTAGCCATATACTAAATATGCTAGCAAAATGCCAATTCATTATAGAAACAAACTAAAAGCTAGCAACATTTTAAAACATGTTAGCAGTATGTTAAAACAACATGGTTATTGGTGTTAAGAATAGCATAATGCTAACATTAACAGTAAAACATGTTAGCTATGTATTAAAACATGCTAGCAAAATGCTTATTCATGAGAGCAGCATATTAAAAGTTAGCAACATGTTAAAACAAAATGCTCATTCATGTTAACAATAACAAAGTGTTAACATTAACATAGTAAAACATGTTAGCTATGTACTAAAACATGCTAAAGAAATGCTAATTCATTATAGCGACATGCTAAACAAGATTTTTTTCATTACAGAATGTTGTAAATGCTGTTTTTTGGACACAATAATAGTTTTACTTTGTAAGATGTATAACGAGACATATATTCATTTAGTTTGGCCTGTTTGTGTGTGTTTTTTACTCACAACGTGCCACTGATTTTACCATGGATTTTACTACGATTTCAGCTCCAAATGATCTTTAATGCGCTGCTAAAGAAAAAAAAAAGTCACCTACATCTTAGATGACCTGATGGTGGGTAAATGAACAGCAAATCAGATTTTTTTTGTGCGCCGTCTTTTTAAGAACACTGATAAATGCGCTGATTTGCTTTTATAGACACTCCGAGACCCTTCAGATCCGTTTTTTTTTCACGGTAATGATGTGATCCAGCGTGAAGTCTCTCTCTCTGGAGTCGTGCGGTAATGTTGTGCTGTGTAATCTAAATGTAATACCGCAGTCTGTTGCTCTGGCAAACACAGGGTTATTATGGGTAATCAGTCAAGCCATTACAGCCCTTCATCACGACCGCATTGTCGTGAGATTTTTTTTTATCATCCTTTTTTCTCGAACACGCATTATAACCTGAAGGGTAATTTGCACATATTAGTTGTTATACGCTGTTGTCTGTTAATGTATATGGCTGAATAATGGCATATAGAGAAGCCAATGTCTTTTCAGAGAAATAATGACTTTATTTGCACTCTATTCATCAGAGCAGAGCTTCTGAAGACTGGGATTATACAGCGGTTGATTAGGGATGTCGACCTTTCCACCAGGAAACATTTATACTATTTAAATCAAGTTAAATCGAAAGATAATAGATACTTATATATATATATATATATATATATATATATATATATATATATATATATATATATATATATATATATATATAT